TTGGGTGGGGGGAGGGAGAGGGGGAGCGGGCTTGCTGCTGCTGCGGGGGTGGGGGTGTAAACCCTAAACCCTAAACCCTAAACCCTAAACCCTAGATTGGGGGGTAGGGGGGAGGGCTTTGCGTGCAGGCACGCTGGCGAAGGCCGTGGGCGTTTTCGGGGGGTATGTGGCGGGAAACAAAAACCTGATTGACTGCATCAGGTCCTACGCAGGTCAGCAGCCCAAACCCTAAACCCTAAACCCTAAACCCTAATTTAGGGTTTGGGCGTGCTTCATCGTTAATTCGTGGCTTGCTTATTTGCTGCTTAGGAAGCTTCATCTTCACCTCCTCGCTGCCCCCAGCCGTCACTGCTGCAGCAACAGAGTCCATCAGATACCTCAAAAAGTCCAAGTGAGGGTTTAGGGTTTAGGGTTTAGGGTTTAGGGTTTAGCAGCAAGCGGCTCCTTGCTGCAACAGCGCAGGCCTCTCCTTGCTGCAGCCCCGCTGCAGCAAGGAGACACCTCGGCAAGCGCCTCTCACCACCAGCAGCACCAGCAGCAGCAGCACCAGCAGCAGCAGCAGCAGCAGCAGCAGCAGCGTGTGTCTCCTTGCTGCAGCACGGAGCGCTACCTGCAGCAAGTGCGGGCCTGCCAGCTGAAGGCGCTGCTGCTGCTGCACAACCTCCCGCTGCTGTTTAATGCTTCTCACATTTTGCCGCTTTTTGTCGGAGACCCCGTCAAGTGCAAACAAGCCACTGACATGCTGCTGCACGAACACAAGGTCTGCTGCTGCTGCTGCTGCTGCTGCTGTTGCTGCTGCTGCTGCTGCTGCTGTGCTGCTGCTGTTGCTGCTGCTGCTGCTGTGCTGCTGTTGCTGCTGCTGTTGCTGCTGTTGCTGCTGCTGTGCTGCTGCTGCTCTCGCTGCTGCTGCGCTGCTGCTGCTCTCGCTGCTGCGCGACCAGCTGCTGCTGCTGCTGCTGCTGCTGCTGCTGCTGCTGCAGGTGTACATCCAGCCAATAAACTTCCCGACAGTGCCGCGGGGTTCTGAGCGGCTGCGGCTGACTCCAAGTCCCCACCACAGCGAAGAAGATTTGCTGCAGCTAGTTGCTGCTCTTGCTGCAGTTTGGAGACAGCTGCAGCTGCCCACGGCCACGGACTGCCTCAAGCGGGGGCTGTCTCTGAACCGCAGCGGCAGGCAGCAGCAGCAGCTCCTCGACCTGCTGCAGCAGCAAATGCTCTTCCTCCAGAAGCAGGCAGCAGCAGGCAGCAGCAGCAGCAGCAGCAGCAGCAGCAGCAAGAGGGAGCCCTGTCCCTTCGGCGTCGCCGCGGCGGACCAGTGGAACGCGCAGTGCAGCAGCAGCAGCAGCAGCAGCAGCAGCAGCAGCAGCAGCAGCGGCGACTGGCAGGAGGCGCTGGACCAGGAGAGGGCGCAGCAGCTGCTGCAGCAGCAGGAGGCGCTGCAGCGGGACCTGCTGCAGCGGGACTTGCTGCAGCGGGACTTCCTGCAGCAGCAGCTGCTGCAGCAGGAGAAGCTGCTGCAGCAGCAGCTGCTCTGCTCCCAGTTCTTCTTCACAGACATCTCCATTGGGCCCAATTCCATCAGCAGCAGCAACGACGCAGCAGCAGCAGCAGCTGCTGCTGCTGCTGCTGCTGCAACCGCAGCAGCAGCACAGAGAAGAAGCACCCCCTGAGGAAGCACTGCTCCCCTTGTGATCACGAAGCAGCAGCAACGCCCCTGACAGCAGCTGCAACAGCAGCAGCAGCAGCAGCAGCAGCAGCAGCAGCAGCAGCAGCAGCAGCAGGGGACATGAAGGGTCTTTGTAGCTTTTTATTATTTCTTTTTATTTCAGCCCCTTGTGTTCTCGTGTGTCTCCTTTTGTGTTTGTTTGAATTTCACGTTTTTAATTTTGCTGCTGCAGCTGTTGCAGCTGCAGCGGCTGCAGCAGCAGCAGCTGCAGCAGCAACAGCTGCTGCTGCTGCTGCTGCTGCAGATGCAGCAGTAAGAGATAGATGCAGCCCATGCTGCTGAGAAACGCTCAGGCGTGTGGACTCCCCAACGACTTGCGGGTTTAAAGTTTGGGGTTTAGGGTTTAGGGTTTAGGGTTTAGGGTTTAGGGTTTAGGGTTTAGGGTCTGGGGTTTAGCGCCTAGGGTTTAGGCTTTGTGGGGGGAAGTGGAACCATCTAATGGGGCGACCAGCAGCACCTTTACTGAGTTTGGTAAACCGCTAGGGTTTAGGGTTTAGGGTTTAGGGTTTAGGGTTTAGGGTTTAGGGTTTTGAACTGAGCGGTCTGGAGAGCCCGGTGGACAGCTAGCTGCTGAGTCATTGAACTCTGCATTAAATTAATTAAATGAAGAGAAGAAATAAAATTAAAAGTCAACTAAAGCTTCAACTGTTTAACAATTGCTGCTGCTGCTGCTGCTGCTGCTGCTGCTGCTGCTGCTGCTGCTGCGGTCCAGGGAGCGTAGAGCAGCAGCAGACCGCTGCCGCTGCTGCACCGCCAGCTGGGCTGCTGCTGCTGCTGCTGCTGGGGCTTTGTGTAAAATGGTTTAATTAAAAAAATAAAAAGAAAAGAAACAAAAAAAGAAAAGAAGTTTATTAAAAGTGGCAGTGGGCGTTTGTGGAGGTTTCCGCTGCCGCGCAGCTGCGGTGTATGTACAGTGTGTGGCTCGTTTGCGGCGGTTTTGGCGCCAAAAAAGGCCCCAAAAGGCCCCAAAAGGTCTATTTGAGTTGCAAAATTCGAATATTTTATTTATAAGTTCCAAAAAGAGCTCCAAGTTGTTCTTTTCCCGCTTTCCGGGCGTTTCCGGAGTCCGCCGGTCGCCGCACACGCCATTTCCGGGTTTTCTTTCCCCGCCGCCTCCGGGCCAGTTTTTCGGGTCTTAAACCCTTTTAATTAAAGGTTAATCAGTTTTTCAGGAAAACTAAAGGAGGCCTCGAACTTCCTCTATCTTTCCTGCTGCTGCTGCTGCTGCTGCTGCTGCTGCTGCTGCTCGCGGCGCGCCCGGTGTACGTACACCCCGGCACTCGCTGCTGCTGCTGCTGCTGCTCATTCTTCCTTTTCTTCTTGCAGCTTCTGCTGCTGCAGCAGCAATGCCGGAGTCGCCGCAGCAGCGGACTCCCTCGCGCCTCTCCAGCGGTGAGCTCCAAACCCTAAACCCTAAACCCTAAACCCTAAACCCTAGCTCGCCAGCGAGACCTAGCCCCGCGCCTGCGCAGCGCTCGCTGCTGCTCATTCTGCTGCTGCTGCTGCTGCTGCTGCTGCTCAAGGTGGAGACCCCAACGGCGCTGAGGCGCCGCGTGCTGCAGCTGCTGCTGACGCAGCAGCAGCAGCAGCAGCAGCAGCAGCAGAGGCTGGCGACTCCCAGGAGGCCCCCAGCAGCGCTGCTGCTGCAGATGGAGCTGACGGGGAGTCATCTGCTGCTGCTTTTGCTGCAGCAGCAAAAGCAGAGAGCGCAGCGGAAGCAGCGACGGCAGCAGCAGCAGCAGCAGAAGCAGCAGCAGCAGCAGCCGGAGCGTCCGCAGCAGCAGCAGCAGCAGACGCATCTTCTTCCGTTGCTGCTGCAGCAGGTCTGAAGGAGACTCGCTTTGCTGCAGGGGCGCCCCCAGGCCGCCAGCAGCAGCAGCAGCAGCAGCAGCAGCAGCGGAGCAGCCTGTCGCGCGACAAAGCAGCAGCAGCAGCAGCAGCAGCAGCAGCAGCACCTGCAGCAGCAGCAGCAGCAGCAGCAGCAGCAGCACCAAAGGGACAGGGCCTGTGGCACCAAGTGCTGAAGGAAGCAAGAGACAAAAGCCAACAAACAGCAGCAGGCTGCATCATTGTCTTGGGTCTGCTGCTGCTGTCTCCTTTTGTTTCTTTTTTATTTTTATTTCTTTTGTTTTTAATTCTTTTTATTTTTAATTCTTTTTAATTAATTCTTTTAATTCTTTTTAATTAATTCTTTTAATTCTTTTCAATTAATTCTTTTAATTCTCATTTAATTCTTTTTTGAGTCTTTTTAGTTCTTTTTAAAATCTTTTAAAAAGAACTAAAGGATTCTTTTTTGAAGATTTTTGAAGTATTTTTAATTTCTCTTTTGTCTCCTTTTTGTCTCTTTTTTGTTTCTTTTTTTTAAATCTTTTTATCTTTTTTAAAATATCTTTTTGTCCCTTTTAAAATCTTTTTATCTTTTTTATTTTTGTCTTTTTTTTGTCTCTTTTTCTTTATTTGCCATTGCTGCTGCTGCTGCAGTGCTGCTGCTGCTGCTGCTACAGTGCCGCTGCTGCTGCTCCAGTGTTGCTGCCGCTGCTGCTGTACTATTGCTGCTGCTGCAACGTCACGCCTGCGGCTGCTGCTGCTGCTGCAGCGTTGCTGCTGCTGCTGCTGCTGCTGCTGCAGCATTGCTGCTGCTGCTGCAGCGTTGCTGCTGCTGCTGCTGCTGCTGCTGCAGCATTGCTGCTGCTGCTGCTGCATTGCTGCTGCTGCTGCTGCTGCTGCTGCTGCTGCTTTAGGGTGCGAGGACGTGGGGAAGACGACGCTGCTGCAGCAGCTGCAGCAAACGGGGGCGGTGTCTCCGTTGGCAGCAGCAGAACTGCACGAAGACACGGGAGGTGTCTCCTCTTTGGATTATGCCTATCTCCAAATAAAGTGTCTCTTCACAGACCAAGACGACGCAGCAGAAGCCACGGGAGCAGCCCACGTCTACGTGCTGCAGCACCCCGACGCCTGGTCTGCTGCTGCTGCTGCTGCTGCTGCTGCTGCTGCTGCTGCTGCTGCTGCTGCTGCTGCTGCTGCTGCTGCTGCTGCTGCTGCT